GCACATTCTTCCATAAAATAATATTACACATAAATCCAAAAATTTTTCTTACTGTTTAACCACACATTCTTCCCCTCAATCACTATTCCAGAATTTATTCTTCTCCAAAATGGGTGTCAAACACTGAAATTCACAATTTTTATCACATATTTCTATCAATTTTTCTCAAAATTTACTAAAAATTTAATTTTAATCTCCACCAAATACGGGGCTAATAATTCTTAAATCTTTCAGATATTTACGACTTAAAATTTGTAAATTTGAGTGGACTCTTTATTCCGTTTTCGTTAAATGTCACGTAGAGTACAACCAAATTAAGCTCCCGTTCTATTATTTGAGTTTATAATTTTTGGAATAATATTTTGAAAAGTCTAAGCCCCTGTTTGGCCCCCATTATTTTGTATTTTTGGGGATTGAAAATTTTTAGAATAGTGATTGATGGAAGAATGTGTGGTTGAAATTTTTTTTGATTTGTGTGTAATATTATTTTATTTGATGAATGTGTGGTTGAAATGAAGAGAAAAAAATTTCATGTAATGTAATTTAATTTAATGACGGCCAAACAAGGGCTAAGTGTACATAATTTGGCCACATAATGGTGTCCATAATGTGATGTGGACAAGATCTGACTATTGATGTGAAAATGTGAGATTTGAATTAAAGGTTGGATCTAATGCCACGTGTAATTATGGATACTATTATGTACAAAATTATGTATGTGTAGCACTTCCTATAATATTTTATTGGAGAATTGGTGGTTGAAAAGTAAAAGAAATTTTTTTTAATTTAAATATAATATTATTTTATTTAAAAATATGTAATTGAAAAGAGGAGACTAAAATATATTATAATTTTATTAGTAATTATTCATTAATGTTTTTCTTGTTAATGGAGTTGATAGATCAATAGTCAATATAATTTTTTTTCCTTGATATTTCACTAAAAATTGTGAACAATTTATTGTGAAGGAGAAGAGAGAATAAAACGTGTTCATCACCCTCTTAGCACTAATTTTATCTTGTATTGCACTAATTTCTACGGGGAAAAGCCATCTTCTTTATCACCAACTTCGAAGGTAATATCAGATTTATTTGTGTAATGTTGATTTTGCGGTGGATTTGATTGTTGTGAATGATTTATCTTCGACACGGTCTCGATCTATAGCCCAGATCGATCCGCTCCTGGGAATCGGTGTTAAATTTTGATGTAATTTTACTGATTTTTAATTTTTTTAATTTGTTTCCCTTTTGTGATAGTTTATACTGTTTCTTTATATGTTTTTTTTCCCAGTGAATTTCATGCTGCCATATCAATTCCCGTGAAAGGGAACAAAATAACTAAAAATTTCCAGCTGCGCAGTGAATCAATTCCCGTGGAAGGGAACTTGTCAATTTAATCTAATGTGTATCGATAATACCTTGACCCAATTTTAAGGTTTACGATTTAGAATTTTTTTTTTTTTTTTGTGCTTTCTCGGGTGTTGCTTGTTCTATATTTTAGGGTTATAAATGTATTTTGATATTCATGGATTGGGTTGGCCTTCAATATTTGGAATATTTACCGGTTGCATACGAACTAGTATCTGTATGTCCCATTTGAGTCCTTTTTTTTTTTTTTTCCATGGACCTGTTATTATAGTTCTTTAGCAAAAACGAGAGTGGCTTGGTTTTCTCTCATTATATTTATTATTGTGGAAGAGCGTGATAAAACTGATAGTTCAAGAATGAAATAGTGTAATTTTACTATGATGTGGAAGTGTACACTGAAATTTTAATTTATTATAGTGACAGTAATTGTGTGGATCAGCATAGAATGAGTGACAAATGAAATGTTTATATCCAAGATTGAAATGGCAAGTGAATCATACCTAACCAATAATCCTCCAAGAAGTGATGATCACTTTCCTTGGAGATTAATAGTTTCTGAAAAAAGAAGGGATCTGAAGAGTATCATTCTTTGTACATCGTAGTGGCTGAAAGCTTTTGAGAACTGGTATCGGGACTCAAGTTGTTGGATTTTTAGGAAACAGCATTTATAGCAAGTTGAAGAATGAATTCATGTAGCTAACACCAAATTTTTTGGGAACTGTGAATGGTTTGTTGTCTAGTGTCGACAACATGTTTTCGTTGAAATGCTTTCCTTCAAGAAATCATTATTTTTGTGTATTGAGTTATTTATTGTACATAATGATATCTGGTTTGATTTTTCTGAACTAGTTAATTAACTTTTCAAGTTTAATGTAGCTCTAGCTAGGATTGGCGCAAGGGAAAATGGCAGACTTAGAGAAATTGCTCCTGGAGGCAGCTGGAAGGACAACTACGACTGTGAGGAACCGCCATTCTTCTCCGCCATCTAGAAGACGACGAAAAAGTTCACATCCTGATGATGGAAGTGACTTCAAAAATGATGACTCAGATGATGATCGCGGTTATTCAAATAGAAAACCTTCTGGCTCACAAGTGCCTCTCAAGAAGAGGTTGGATCCTGCAGAGAGAGAGAATGATCGTAGTAGTCAGGAAGATGTCGATGAAGACGATGATTACGATAAAGGGCGTGACAGTGATGATGATTCTGTTGGGAGTGATCTGTACAAGGATGAAGATGATCGGGAAAAGCTTTCAAAGCTGACTGAACTTGAACGAGAAATGATACTAGAAGCTCGTGCAACAAAGAGAAGTGACAGAGATTTGACTGAAAAATTGAAAAAAAGGAAGGGTCAAGATAAAAAAGGAAGCCATCCCACACCACCTACGCGCAGCAGCATGCGCTCCAAAGCTGAAAGGGGCCAAAGGGCAGGTGCACTGGATGAACTAGTTAAACGAAGAAGGGATGCTAAGGGAAGTTCTGGCGGGCGATACTCCCCTGTAAAAAGGAGATCTTTTGCCACTGCCACTTTTAATAGTCCCAGCCGGAGTGGAAGTGGGTCTCATAGTGATGAGGGAGATTCAACAGGGGATGGTGGAATGGCTGATAGTGATGATGAGAAGACTTCAGATTCTAAGACACCTACGTTTGAGGATATTAAGGAAATTACAATTCGAAGGTCAAAACTGGCAAAATGGTTTATGGAGCCCTTCTTCGATGAGCTGATTGTTGGTTGTTTTGTGAGGGTTGGTATTGGGAAGTCGAGGTCGGGGCCTATTTACAGACTCTGTATGGTTCGCAATGTTGATGCCACAGACCCCGATAGGCAGTATAAGCTTGATAACAAAACCACATACAAGTACCTGAATGTTGTCTGGGGCAATGAAAGCTCTGCTGCTAGGTGGCAGATGGCAATGATTTCAGATTCTCTGCCACTCAAGGAGGAGTTTGATCAATGGGTCAGGGAGGTAGAACGCGGTGGTGGTCATATGCCTAGCAAACAGGAGGTGTTGGAAAAGAGAGAGGCCATACAGAAAACAAACACATTTGTCTACTCAGCTGCCACCGTGAAACAAATGTTGCAGCAGAAAAAGTCTGCCACATGGCGACCACTAAATATTGCTGCTGAAAAAGATCGTCTCAGGAGGGAGTTGGAAGTTGCCAAAATGAGGGATGATGAGGTAGAGATTGAGAGGATCAAGGCAAGACTGCAAGAATTGGAGGCGTCGCGTCAAACCCAGGGGAAAGATTCGAAGGCAATTCGGTTGGCAGAAATGAACAAGAGAAACAGGGTCGAGAATTTCAAAAACGCATCAGAAAAGAAAGCAGTGAATACAAGTTTGAAAGCTGGCGAGGCTGGGTATGACCCCTTTTCAAGAAGATGGACTAGATCAAGGAATTATTACCTGTCGAATTCGGGTGGAGGAGAAGAGGCAGCTGAGACAAATGGTGATGCAAGTGCTGCGCTAGAGGTTGCTAATAGTAATGGAGGAGTTCCAGTTACGGCTGAGGCTGGATTGGCAGCCACAGAAGCAGCCTTGGAAGCAGCAGCTGATGCCGGGAAGTTGGTGGATACAAGAGCTCCAGTCGATCAAGGGACTGAATCGAACCTGTTACATAATTTTGAATTGCCGATTTCATTGGCTGTGCTTCAGAAGTTTGGCGGGCCTCAAGGAGCCCAAGCTGGATTTATGGCTAGGAAACAAAGGATAGAAGCAACTATAGGCTGTAAAGTTCCTGAGAATGATGGGAGGAGGCATGCGCTGACCTTGACAGTCAGCGACTACAAGAGACGGAGGGGGCTATTGTAAAATTTAATCTTGGCAAACCACATGTTTTACTTACTGGAATGTTCTCTCTCTGTTATTCAAATGCAGGGTTGGAGACTTTAACTTCACTTTTTCCTGGAGCTGCAACCTTGTCGTGTGATCTGTTTTGCGTGTTTTCAAACTGTAAACTAGAATTTTTCCCTTTTACCTTTGTTTTGATTAAAGTTTTCTGCTAATATCTTGTTCTCAGGACATAAAAGAAATCGTTAGCTTTATGATGGCCTTGAGCAGTGTTTGGACATAACAAGATTTGGCTTTATGATGGCATGCCAAAAACTTGGATGTGTGGTTTACTTGTGAGAACCGAAATTCTTGTACTTATAACCGCAATTAGAAGGGAAAAGAAGTTAGAAGTCTTATTGTCGTGCAGTGCTTAGTATCTGCTCCTGAATTAGACGTATTATTGGTAAGGTGGTCCTACAAGGCGCAAAGCGTGGTGATATTTGGACAACCGTCTCACTTGTGTTTAAATGGCTTTGCCTTAGCATAGATGATAAATTAGAAATCTATCGATTACATGATACTTTTATCTAGGTTGACATGACGAACATAACTTCATCTACAACCAAAACATTTATGCGAACATTTTGCCAAACATGATCACGTGAATATTATCTTGAAACGTTGTGATGAGCATATATTAGTTCAAGTAGTGTCGTGAAAGGAGAACTTGTTTCTTGCAACCAAAATTTTTTGGAATCTTTACAATAAACAAATTCGACTCAGATATTACACCTGTCGGGCGATCGTCTAAGGATCCCGATTTATAGAAGGCCTCCAATTTTTAGGTATGGTAACGGGACGGGGAGGGGCGGGGATGCCCTCCTCGTCCCCTGCCCCGTTCCCCGTTTAAGGTAAGGCGGGGCGGGGCGGGGGTACGTTTATTCCCTGTTTAAATTTTTTTTTTTTTTTTTTTTTTTTTTTTTTTTTTTTTTTTTTTTTTTTTTTTTTTTTTAAAAATTTATTTTTTTTTTTTTTTTTTTTTTTTTTTTGAGGACTTGTTTCATTATNCCCGTCCCCGCCTCGGGGAATAATTCCCCGCCCCATCCCCGCCCCGTTACCCGTTTAAGCGGGTTTTCCTCTCCCCGTTCGGGGCGGGTCCCCGCGGGTATCGGGTTTGTCGGATTTTTTTGCCATCCCTACCAATTTTTAAAATTTACATGTTTTTGCCTTTTATTTTTCTTATGAAATAATTCTATTGGTAATTAGTAACTTTGAAAAATGAATGATTATGAACAAGTTCTGAGTCATTCATATTAAAATTATAAATCCCTTAACAAAATTTAATTTATTGAAGAAAATCAACAAATATATTAATAAAAATATAATAATTAATCACTAACCAAAAATTATGTTTCAAACAACTAAAAGCTAAAAAACAATTAATGATTACGAACAATTAATAAATTTAAAAGAATTTATGATTACGAACCATTTTACAGTTATTAATATTAAAAACATAAATAGTTTAACAAATTTAATTGAACGAAGAAAAATTTGCCAATTAAAAATTAAACACTTATGTTGCAAACAATAAAAGTTATGTCGGTAATATTATAAACAATGAATAAAAATATTTTTTAATTTATGTATTAGTATCTTAAAAAAATGTTACAAAAATAAAATTGTGTATGACACCGACGGTGCCATGCTAAGATTCGTGAACTTCTTGACTCTACCATTTTCATGTTCTTATTATTTTTAATTGAGTTTTTGGCAATTCATTATCCAAGGTGTTTTCTTATTTTAGTTTTGAAGAGAATTGCAATGTTTAAGAGGGTTGCTGTGTACCAAGTTTTTATTTTACTTATGTTATGGAAACGGGGCAAGGGACTTGTTGGTCTTTCTACCCGTGTCCTGTTGGGCATTTTTATCACCTTCCCCATTTTCCATTTTTGGTTAAAACGGTACGGTTCGGTGTGGGGCAGGGCCCCTGCCCTAGTTATCAACCCCACTTATTTTATGTTTTTGTCTTTAGTTAGTAAATATTATTACTTTTTTTTTTTCATTTTGTTAAGAACAACTGATATTCTCTTTAAAATTGATAATAAATCTTTTATTTTTGTTTAATAAAAAATTTAAATTTAAAATTAACTTTAAACGGGACGAATAGCAATGTGAGAACTATGATTCCTAAACAAACCCCACTAAAGCAAGTGTTATAGAAGCTCAATGCCTCAGGAAGAATGATGAAGTGGGCCGTGAAGTCTAGTGAGTTTGACATTGCGTTTAAAACAAGGGTTGCTGTTAAAGGTCAAGCCTTAGTAGATTTCGTGACAGAGTTCGCTCATATTTTAGAAATAGAAGAGAAAATGGAACCCATCAAACCTTCCACCTAAAACTTGTTTGTTAATGGTTCCTCTAGAGACATAGGATCCGGGATAGGAGTGATCCTAGTCAGTCCAGAAGGACATAAGCTTGTACTATGAAGTTTGGAATCAGGCTACCAACAATGCAGCAGACTAGGAAGCCATTCTAGCTAACCTCAGATTGGCTAGGAAGATGCAAGTAAAGAGGCTAGTTATCAACAATAACTCCTAGTTGGTAGTGAGCCAGGTTAATAGCAATTTCTCAGCCAAGGATAAAAGCATGGCCACATATTTGAAGTTGGTCATGGAATTTGTTCGAGTTTTTGAAAAGTTTGAGTTGGGATAGATCCCACGCATAGAAAATGCTCATACCAATGCTCTTTCAAAACTAACAAATAGCAAAGATTCTGAACTGCTCGTTATTATGCCTATAGGGTATCTTCCTAGACCCTCCATTTCCACATGTAAAGAGGCAATGTATGTTGAAGATATGCCCCATGGAAATAGCTAATCATAGCATTCCTCAAAAAATCAAGTGCTACCATTTGACAAAGAGGAGGCGCAAAAGCTCAGAAGCTCAATTTGGTTTTCAAGATGATGTGTTATACAAACGAGGTTTTTCTTTACCCATACTCCGATGCATAGGTGGCAAACAAGCTACCTACGTGCTCCAAGAAATTTATGAAGTGGTTTGAGGTAACCATGCGGGATGATGATCTCTGGCACAAAAGGTGTTAAGATAGGGATATTAGTGGCCTACATTGAAAAATGATGCACAACAGTTTGGGAGAAGATGTGACAAGTGTCAGGGCTTCGCAACAATTTAAAAACAACATTTCCAAGAGCTAAGTGTTGTCTCTAGTCCTTTGCTATTTGCCAAGTGGGGCATTGATCTTATAGGACCCCTACCTAAAAGAAGGAGCAATATCAGCTTCACCATTGTCGCCATTGATTATATCACAAAATGGGTTGAAGCCAAACCTCTAGCCAAAATTCCATAAGCCAACACTTTCAAATTTTTTAGGGAGAATATTATATGCCTATTCAAAATTTCCCATTCAATTGTCTCAGATAATGGGCATCGATTTAATAATAAGAAGGTCACGAACTTATGTGAGCAACTAGGAATTAAGAAGCACTTCTCTACCACCATTATCCTCATACTAACAGGCAAGTGGAGGCAATCAATAAAACTATCAAGTATACGTTAAAAGGAAGCTAGATGCTTCCAAATAGGTTTAAGTGGATGAGCTACCTCAGTTCTTATGGGCTATCCAAACTACTAGTAGGACGGCTACAGGAAAAACTCATATCTCTATGGAATATGGAGCATAGGCCATGAGCCCAGTTGAAGTGGGTCTATTCTCTCCTCGTCACATACAGTTTAATGAAATACCTCATGACGAGTTGAGGAGGCGCGAATTTGATTTTCTTGAGAAATGATGAATGAATCCCAAGGGAAATTAGTTGCCTACTAATGAAAGATGACTGGTACTACAATTTTAAGGTCAAGAAAAAATCATTTCGTTTAATGATCTTATATTACGAAGGGTATTCATATCCTCTAAAGAGCCAAGAGTGGGCACTCTTAGTCCTGACTGGGAAGGTCCCTACCGCATCAGAGATGATGTTTGACCTGGAACCTATAGGATTGAAACTTTGGATGGAAAAGCACAGCTTCATCCTTGGAATGCAGAGAACCTAAGAAAGTACTATTAGTAAAGGTGTAAACACAATTCATGTATGGTTTGTTTAAATTAATAAAGTTTGTCTTGTTAAAGTTCTTGAAATAAAGGAAAAGTACCTTCCAAGAGACAAATGTTCTGTGAAAAGCCTCTGCCAATGAGCCATCTTTCAGGCAGGGAAGCGTGAACACTTCAGTGAAGAGGTGGATCACAAAAGTAGACTACATCCTTACTTGCTAAAGTGAATAGCACATGCCCCAATGACAGAATTCATTAAGGAAGTCTCAACATGGATGAACTACTCAACTCCATGCTAAGGAAACAATAAATCAAAAAAGCATACAAACTACCAACACGTGTACAAATTCTGAATAAAATAAGCCTGAAACAAAGGCTGAAGTACGACATAGCAATAACATATGCAAAATTCAGTAAAATATTCAAAAAATTAACACAAGAATAGCAAAAAATATTTCATTCATTGAAAGTCATTACAATTGGGATTTAGAAGCCATTTACAATATATATATATATATATATATATAGACACACAAACATCTTCAAAGGCTTAATTGCCCTCGCCAGCTTCATCTTCAATCTCTATTACATGGCTATCCTCTGCAGGAATTTGAGGCTCTTCTTGCTCTCACTCTCCCAATAATTTTGACCTTAGCTCAGTAGTGTTGTACGTGAAGTGCACCTCAATCCATTCCACCATATTTGTGTAAGCATACCTTCTCCAGTATCGACAAAGCTCTAATACTCTTCTGTTGGAATGTGGCTATATACTACTTCATAGCATCTTTGCCAGCTGATTGGGCTTCTCCTCTTACACACTCCACCTCCTCTGTAAGGCCAGTGATCATGGAGTTGAGCTCTCCCGCTTTAGTGCAGCATTCTCTTTATCTGACCTCTCAAAGGCCTGAGTAGCCAACTTCTGGTGGGCATCAAAAGTCTCCACTTTGCTTTGAGACAAGTGGACTTCATT